GGGGGGGGGGGGGGAAGCCTCCCGCCTCTCCCTCAGGGTCCTCACCTCCGAGCTTGGCGCAGCCCGCGATTCCTCTCTCTTCTGACCGGAGTGGGCTCCGGTCAGGCCGAGCCTCACGTCCCTCACGCGCCCAAGACGCAAGGCCAGCCGCGCCTCAGACGCGGACCCTGCCTGGGGTCTCCCCGGGATGACCGCAGGGGCGGGGCGTGGCTAGACGCTCCGCATGCGCGAGTGGGCGGTGCCTCCGCGCCTCCCGCCTAGCTGCTCTGAAGCCCCGCCCCTCAGGCTCCCCAGATACAAGTCGCGAAGCAGAACATCCGGGGACCTTGCCCCGTCTTTTCAGGGTTGATAGGAAGAGCCAGATGGGAGTGGGGGCCCCGTGATCTGTGGTGGGGTCTCGCCTCACTCCTCCCGCGGGGTCCGTATCCATCGCTGGCAAGGGCTGGCACTCGTCCCTCCCCGAACCTGAGTCGGGTCCCCCCAGACGAAGCCTCGCGTCCCCCAGACGCCAAAGACCAAGGTCGCCAAACGCCGCTGCCCACCACACGTGCTCGGGGCTTTCCAGAACTAACGGCACCGGCGGGGCCCAGCCTGGCCCCCCTCCCTACGCGGGGCGGGGGGGGGGGGGGAAGCCTCCCGCCTCTCCCTCAGGGTCCTCACCTCCGAGCTTGGCGCAGCCCGCGATTCCTCTCTCTTCTGACCGGAGTGGGCTCCGGTCAGGCCGAGCCTCACGCCCCTCACGCGCCCAAGACGGAAGGCCAGCCGCGCCACGTACGGGAACCCTGCCTGGGGTCTCCCCGGGATGACCGCACAGGTCGTCCGAGACCAGGACCCGATGTTTGGGGTGAAAAACCCCTCAGTCCTAGCTCCGGGTCCTCGCCTTGGCTCTGGGCTCTGGCTGAGCCGCTCTCCTCTCTGGAGCTGAGCTCATTGGCTGCAGCACAAGCCCCTCCCCTTCGCGAGAACTTCGAGGTGGACGTGAGGAAGCACGGATGGCCATCTGCTCCAGGGCAACGGAGGGTTGACGCGGGGCGCAGGGTAAGCTCCCTGCCACCACCCTCCCATCTGAGGCTGTAGGCATACCCTGGGGCATGTCCAAGGTATTTACTTTTACTACTGATAGGGCTTGCCTGTCAGCCCTTTTGCGGACCTGCTGCGGCCTTCAGTCCAAGGCCATTTCCCTGAGACTCCCTCTCTCGAAAGAGGAAGTCAGGGAGGCAGCGCTTCTGCCTGCCCGACCTGCCTGGGACCTCCCATTCTGATACCATGGGCGGCTTTCTGTGTGTCGCCCTGGGTCTGGGGACGTAGTCTTCTCAGTCCTCCCTCCAGATCCTCGGGATGCCTAGCAGAACCTGGGTCCCCTCCCTTCTCCTGACATGAAGCTGGGCCCCTCACATCAAGGTTCTCACTTTTCCCTGATGCCCTAGTAGGGGCATCAGGAGACACCGCGTTTGGCCACCAAGCTGTAGGGCCTCCCAGGGCCGAAAGCAGGTCAAGGACTAGATTCTGTGGTGCTCCCTCTATTTGGGGCCAAGCTATATAGTCCTCCCTCAGGGTCCTCACCTTGATGTCTGGCGGAGACCAGCTGCTCCCTTCTGAGCACATCCAGTGACCATGCCCTGGAGCGTCCCAGGGCTAACCACAGAGACAGGGCAGGCTTCTTCTGGCCCTCAAATCCTCCCTCAGGACCTCACCTTGTCACCTGGCGAGATCTGGACTCCTGCCTTCCCTGACCTATGTCTGCCACCCTCAGACCAAGGCCTCCACCTTCCCGAGACCCTCAAGCTGGAAATGAGGGGGCTGCTCAGCCTGGGACCCCTGCTCGGAGTCTCCCAGGACTCACATCAGCAGTAAAGCAGGATTCTGTTGGATACCCTCTGTTCTGGGATGGGTGGGCCCCTTAGTTCTCTCTTAAGGGTCCTCACCTTGTGTCCTGGCTTCTCAGTTAAATACCATGAGGGAAATTAGAAATCGTCCCTGCCTGCCAGCAACTCTTTGAGAATGGTTTCAGGTTCCAGGCTATTGCATTGTCCAGTGCAGTGATTTTCTTTTTTTATAACTGTCATTCATAGCGAGAAATATATTATACATTGTGCATCTATCCAAAGTGTTTATGTAATATTTTTTTCATGAAAAAATACTTATCCTTACTATCGGTGATTCATTGTGATACTGACTATTCCGTTTTTAGTTCATACTTTATATTCTGCTAAACTAATTTTTTTGAAGATGAGTCCTTACTCATTAGCACGGTTTCAGATGATTATTAGGAGACTGGAGTCATAGTGCCTCAGTGAACCCCATCTTCCCTGCCGTCTTGACATTGCCCCCCCCCCCCGGGGGGCTGCTGGCATTTGTGCCCTGAGGCACGGTCTCAGATTTCTGCAATGAAGCAGGAGCAGAAGTTGAAAAGGTTTGCTCCTCCCTGTCCTGCCATCTGCCTTCTGTTATTACAAGCTACGAAGTCTCCCCAGCTTAGGCCCAGAACTTCCTCACCCCAAACATAAGTACCTATTCAACACAGTCCTCAGTCTCCCCCAGGGGTTTCTCATGTTTGGTTGTTTCGATTTTATTGTTGATATTTGTTTTTATCCTCCCTTCCATAGTTTTCTGGGCTTCATTCTGGGAGAAGACAGCAGCCCAAGCTCTGTAGTCATCTTGACATCTACAGGTAAGATGCTAAGTCTGTAAATACAAATTGACATCTTTACTATGATGTGTATTCCACCAATGAATATGCTATACTGCTCTGTTTGTTTGGGACTTATTTTACCGGAATCTATCAGTAAACTTTTATAGTTGTTTCCGTAAAGATCTCATACATTTTTGTGATGATTCGTTTAAGGTAATTTTTGGATCCTGTGGCTGTTGGGATGTCTTCTATCACGTGTTCTAATTAGTTACTGTTTTTGTGTGACAAGGCTCTGGCTGTTTGTTAGAGTGAATTTATACTATCTTTCTGAGGTTTCGTATTCGTTTGAATATTCCACATGCTTATTCCTTAGAATTTTCTACATAAGTGATCATATCGCCAAATAGTATCTTTCTTATATATCCACAGCTTACTTATATATCCACAGCTATGGTTTTGCATTTCAGTGTAGTTTTGAACAGTAGAGGTAATAGCATTATACCTCTATCTTTTCTCAGACCTTACTGGAAATGCTTCTAACATTTCACACGAAATCATGTTTGCTGTAGATTTTAGGAAAGGGAAATTCCCTTGTAATCTTAGCTTGCTAAAAGATTTAAAAAAAAATTCCCATGAACTTGCGCTGAATTTCTAAGTTTTTTATTTCTGTACCCACTGATGTAATAATGTTTTCTCTTCTCCTGTTATGGACTGAATTACGTACCCCAAAATTCGTATGTTGAGTTCCTAAATCCTAGTAACTCAGCATTTGACTGAATTTGGAGATCTCGCCTTTAAAGAGGTAATTAAGGTAAATACAAGGTCATATGGGTGGGCCCAAATCCAGCATGACTGGTGTCCTCATGAGAAGAAGTTAGGTCATCCTTTAGATGACGCATAAAGGAAAGATAATTTGAAGGCACAGGGAGAAAACAGCCAACTGCAAGCCAAGAAAAGAGGCCTCAGAAGCAACCAACCCTGCCATCACATTGATCTTGGACTTTTAGGCTCCAGAATTATAAGGAAATGAAGTCCTGTTGTTTAAGCCACCCAGTCTGTGGTAATTTGTTATGACAGCCCTAGCAAACAAATATACTCCTTGAATTTGTTAATGTAGGGAATTACAATGGAAAGTATTTTCTAATGTTAAATCATGTTTTCGCTCCTAAGACACAGTTTATTCATTTAATTCACTGCTATGCTGAATATGCTATTAATCTGTTTAAGATATTTACTGCTATGTGAGCGAGCTTAGCTCGCGTGTTATGTTCATGGGGAGCCCTCATCTGGCTTTTGAATCAAGGAGAGCTAGCCTGGGAGAAGTAGTTGAATAATTGCCCATCATTTTGGGTGCTTTAGAAGAGATTGCATGAGATAGTGAATTACTTCTCCCTGACCGTTTGCTAGAACTGGCCTTCAAGACTGCCTGACCTGGAGTATGTAAGGGTTGCCTGATCTTTGAATAGTTTCAGTCTGTAGCACTTGTTAGAATTCTCTGTTTCTTTGTGAACCAATTTGGCCATTGTTTCCCTAAAAAGCAGTCTATTTCACTAAGGTTTCAAATTGAATGGCATATTTATAATAAAACCTTTCTTACAGAAGTCCTAAAACCTACACATCAGTAAAGAGAATAGTATACTATACCCAATATGCCAGATACTCAACATCGACAGTCACCAATGCATGGCCAATCTGGTTCTAAATTATACCCCCACCTACCCTGACCCCCACCCCCAATGTCTGTTGCTAGAATAATGTGAAGCAAATCCAAGACATCATACCATTCCTTCTCTAAGTATTTCAGGATGCATTTTTAAAAGATAAGGACTCTTTTATAAAATATAAACCCAATACAATACCCCAAAATTAAACAAGCCATTGATATCAAACACCCAGTTATCTCTCACACTTAACTGAAGGCCTTACATACTTTTTTAAAAATCTGTTTCCTTGAATTGGTGCCCCAATAGGATCATTTTTCCCCTAAATCATTTTAGTCTATAGGTCTATATATCACCTACACATCACCTCTTTTTGGCTGCAATTTTTATTGTTATACAGTAACAATACAGGTCTTCTGTTTTGTCCTGGTTCCCGTAGTCTGGATTTTGCAGACTCTAACACTTAGGTGTCCTTTGAGACTGTGTTCCTCTGCGCCCTGTATTTCTTTACATTGCTAATTAGAAGTAGAAGCTTGAGCAGATGTTTTTTGAATTTTTGTCTTTCGTTTTGCAAGACTACTCCATAGGTGATGCTGTTCACTTCCATTAGGAGGTACATGATGCTGTTTGTCCTTGTGCTGATGCTGGGTCATCAATGGTCATCGTGTTTATCCATTAATCCTTAGGGGTTGAAAAATGATCATTCTCTCATTCTTTCGTAGCTTATTAACTGAAATACCTCTATATGTAGAAACTGCCCCTTGTCCACCATTTGGTTATCCTGAGGGAAAGATATTTGCTGTGTTCTTTTATAATATTTAAATCTCCTCTGCATGTATATTTTGTACAATTTAA